TTACAATATTTTGTTAAAATTGCAAAGCTCAAACATTTAAAGATGTGATAGGAGAATTTCTTCGGATATTTTATTGTCCTAAAACTCTCCATGTGCTTATACAGTCATTCACTTAAGGATCAAAATTCAGCAGAAAATGAAAATAGGAAAACCATGAATTTTTCACAGGTCATTCTAATTATTATTATTATTATTATTATTATTCTCGTTTCTTTGTTTCTTAGTACGTATATTAAACCCGTTAAGTGCATGCTTGTCCTCTGCCCACATATTAAGCTTACCTGTCCCCTCCTCTCAAATTGTTTGTACAACTTCACGCGATAAGCTTCGTTCTTCCTTTTATGTGCCATGTCCCTTCTGGACGTAGACGATCATGGCTCTCCACTTCTCCTTATCACTTGTAGCTTTCAATAAGTTTTCTCCCTTTGCTACTTCCCTCAGGCCATGTTATGTCAGCCACTTGCTTAATCCCCCCAGGTATGTCATCCGTTATTTTCCCTTGTCTCTCTTTCCCTCTGTTCGACATTTATGTGACGTGTCCCTTCAGGACGTAGGCGATCATGGCTCTCCACTTCCTCCTATCTCTTGTAGCTCCCAATAAGTTTCGTCGCTCTGCCACCCACTCCAGACCACGTTCTGTCATCCACTTGCTTAATCCTGCTACGTATGTCATGCCTTGCTTTCCCTTGTCTCTCTTTCCCTCTACTCGACATGTGAGTATCAGATTCTCCAAGCCCTCCTTTCTCGTTACATGCCCCAGAAACTTCATCTGGCTCTTCCTGATGTTAAGTATAAGCTTCCTCCTTGTTTGCATCCTTTCCAAGACCTCATCGTTGCTCACACGCTCGCTCTATGATATCCTTAGCATCCTTCTGTAGAGCCACAGCTCCGCGGCCTCGAGTCTCTTCTTCATCTTTGAGGAAACTGTCCAACATTCGCTGCCGTATAGGAGGACAGGTGTCACGTAGCAGCTCAGTATTATTTTCTTTGTTACCAAAGAAATCCCCCTGTCTCGCAGTACTCTGCCCAGCTTTTGGAATGTGTCCTTGCCGATCCCAGTCCGATGTCAGCATCTTCCTTCAAAATACTTCCCAGATATTTAAACTTCCGCAAATGCTTGCCCGATGAATATAGAAGTCGGCATGACAGGGTGGGCCAACATTTGCACTGAAAAATCTGCAACTTTTACGGGTAGAAAGCTGTAAGAAATCGATATGAACACCATCCAGATCCGGCCACAGAGTAGGGCCTGTGGTAATGTTATGAGACTTTACACACAGATATTAATACGCAATGTTAATCGCTCTGACATTGTAATCAAAGACAACAAAAAACAGTATGTGCTTTCTTCTTGACATGGCATTTCCTCCAGACTCTAACGTATCTTTGAAGATCTTCAAAAAACTATCAAGATGTATGAATATTGAAGTGGAAATCTTAAAAACTGTGGCACATGAAGACATCGGTAATTCCAGTTGTAGTTAGAGAACTCGGATTGATTGGAAAAAAAAGTTCTGTTAGATTCATTGAAAGGATTCCTGATAGACCATGCCTTAAAGAAATACAGAAAAAATGGTCTCACAAGTACAGCTATCACCTTTCGAGGGACTTTATCAGTGTAAAATGTGTGTTATCTTAGGTTATTCAGTGGAAAATATCATGATGCCATTTCTGACCTTTTGTCATGGGTCCTTACCTCTAACTACAGAATGAACTCTTCCTAACACTATGTATACTACGCCTCTCAAGAGATAGGGTCGAATCGAGTCGAAGTGATAGTAGTTCACTCCAAACCAGACTGACAGTCATACTAACACCTTCCACATTTTGTATTATTATATCGTGTAATATACCTTCGTTATTTCTACTCTTGTGTTCGTGTTGTTCTTCCTTGGTCCTAATCTGGACCATAACACCTTTGGTCTCTGGTTGGGATCCGGAAGGAAGTGAGTAGACACCAGAATTCAAAGGAAATAATAATAATAATAATAATAATAATAATAATAATAATAATAATATTTTTTTCTTTTACAAAAATGATCAGTGGGAAATCTCATGAAGCCATTTCTGACCTTTGGTCTTTTGTTGGGACCCGGAAAGAAATGAGTACGCAACAGGCATCAAAGGAAATAATAATAATAATAATAATAATAATAATAATAATAATAATAATAGGAATAATAATAATAATAATAATTTGTAGTTATAATAATAATAAGGAGATACAAAAAATTGTTCTGACAAGTACAGCCCACACCTTACGAAGGGCTTTATCTATGTAATTTTTTTTTTTTTTGTCAGTGGAAAGTGTCATGACGCCATTTCTAACTTTAGGTCCCTGGGCGGGACCCGGAAAGAAATGTGTAAACGCCAGAAATCAAAGAAAATAAAAATAATAATAATAATAATAAAAGAAACCTGTTTGAATGAAGTGGTTATATAGTGCAGGATTAAAAGTAGAAAGCGAAAGGTTTATTCTTGCTGCACAGGACAAATGCTTGCTAAGCAGAAATTACTAAGCACACATTGCCTTAAGATCGTGATCAAACACCACAAAATAAAATGTGCTTTCTTACTGACATGACAGTCTTTACCAACTGCAATGTATCATTAAGGATCTTTAAAAAAAAAAAACTATCTAACTAAAAGGAACTTGAAGTGAAAATTTAAAAAAAAATGTAAAACATGGGGACAGCAATAATTCCAGTTGTAGTTGGAAACCCCGGTTTGATTTGAAAAGGTTCCGATAGACTCATTGTCCTTAATCCCCCTTACGCCTGAACTGAACTACAGTACCTATGGTTACAAACTAAATAAAAAAAATATTCAATCACCTACTCTACATGGATGATCCCAAATTCTTTGCCAAAGACGACAATGAGTTGAAGGGACTCCTCAATATTGTAAAATGCTTCAGTGACGACATAGGTATAGACTTCGGATTAGATAAATGTGCTTTATTCTTGACATGGCAGTTCCTCCAGACTCTAACGCATCTTTGAAGGTCTTCAAAAAACTATCAAGATGTATGAATATTGAAGTGGAAATCTTTAAAAAAATATGGCGCACGAAGTCATCGATAACTCCATTTGTAGTTGGAGAACTGGAATTGATTGGAAAAGGTTGTGTTAGATTCATTGGACTTCGGATTAGATAAATGTGCAAAAGTAACATTCAAGAAAGGTAGAATTACAGAAACACCCTTAATAGATTTAGATTTTGTCACAAAGATTAGGGAACCGGAGCATGATGAAGCCTATAAGTACCTAGGAATTAGCGAAGGTGATGGCATACAACACCCTCAAATGAAGGAGGTCAGAAAAGAGTACTACAGGCGTATACGTCTGGTACTAAATACCGAGCTAAACTCCAAAAACAGAATATCAGCCATAAACATCTTGGCTCTCCATGTGGTGCAATACAGCTTTAATGTCCTTAATTGGACCATAGCTGAAATTAAGCGAATAGACGCCAAAACTCTGCAAAAATAAAAAGTGCTTTCTTATTGACAGTCTTTGTAAGTGAATGTAATGGATTCGACTGGAATTCGAAATCAGTTCTTCAATTCCTCAATCCGAGCTTCTATCCATTACTCCACTGTACATCCACATGTCTAAAAGAAATGAAAATATCAGGTGACGAAGAATGAGACAGCCACTTTATTTTAACAGGGATGACGCCGAAAGAAAAAAAATCAAATCAAATCAACACGACCTTTTACTTAAAAAAAATGTTTAAAATAAAACTTTTACCCTTTTTAAAAACCAAAAATTTAATAATTATTTTTTCTCATGTAAAAAGAGAATCTAGAACGAAAACTGAAAGAAAAAAAGGAAATCGTTTTCAAGTGTTTGTCTCCATGGCAAAGAAAACTTTTCAAAAATGAGATAAAAAAAAGAAATGAAATTAAACCAACATTAACTTCAACAACATGTACAGAATTCTTTATTTCTTTTTCTTTTTTTTCTTAATTATTGCTTTATTCATTCCTTTATGTTTTTCAAGCAATTGTCTTAGAAATAAATGTACAAAAGTGAATAGCGAAAAGGCGGAAGCGGTAACCAAAGAAAGGCAAATAATTTGAAATTCTTAATGGCGACTTCTTTTGCTTCACGTCTCTTCGGATGTTACGCATGCGCATTGTGCAACGTGCTGCAAGCAGTGGATAGTTTTCAGTTGTATGCTCATGTCGGCTTTCAGTGAATCTCTGTTCATAAACATGGCGTTATGTCTTCGTGTGATTTCCGTCGTTGTGTGAGCTGAGGCTTATGTATATTTAATCTGTTTGTATGTATTTTAATGATTTGAAAAGATCGCAGATGTGAATATTTCTGCGATAAAAACAGGTGAAAATTCTGAATTTGGGAATGTCGGTGGATTTATGTACATCTGTGTATAAAGAAATCCTTTTTTACTGTCTTTATCAGTATTATTGTTGATTCGATATGATCTCTCAAAACTAAATTTTCCTTAATTTTTTTTTTTTTAAATGCGTATTGATTGCTTTTTTTATTTTATTTTTTAACTGGAATTTCCCGTCTTGAAAAATTCTGTAAAATTACCGAATATGAAAAATGATATTCCTGGGAATCATTCCATTTTGCATTCAAAATAACGACATGGCACCTGCCATTAGCGCGATTTGGCGAGGAGGGGTGGAAAATTTTCCGGCTTAGCTAATTACGGAACAGACCGAGCGATATGAAAGAAAAAAAAAATAAAGGAAGAAAAAATGACTGGGTTGCGTGAATCTTTTAAGTAAAGAAAGCTGTCTGTCTTTAAAATCAAAGTTTATGCTAATCGACCGGTCTGTTACCATGGATTAACTAGTCAATAGCCAATAGAATAATTTCAAACATAACAGTTACCGCCTACTCAATATCCGTTAGAATAATACAATGAACCTTGCTACCCATAATGCACCACTGATGAGCTTATATAAATATTCAAGGCAAAACACGACCCACTGAAAATTAGCCTAAAAATTGCAGGTGGCTTACGACGTTGGAACACCAATTCCAGTACGATCACCGATGTTAAGCAACGTCGAGCCAGGTCAGTACCTAGATGGGTGATTACTTGGGAATACCAAGTGCTGTGTGGATGGGAGGGTGGTGTAGTGGATAATGACTCAGAATTATTAGCCGGTCAGCCGAATTCCAATTCCGTGCAAAACCCCCTTATGCTCCCAGGTATGGATTAATTAGCAATAGTTGTATCAGTAAAACCATTATAATCTTTAAAAAAATCTTACTATCTAAAAATATTTTCTGGCTCTAAATAACCTGCAAAGATTTGAGAAGCCGTAGGAATAGATAAGTGCACTTACAATACTCCCCAGTTTTTGAACAGGAGTAGAGTTTTATCGCTTGTTTCTTGTTTAAAATTCAGTTTCCGGTTGCTTCTAAAGTATCGTATTCTCTTTCATCCCTAGTAGCCCCTTTGCGTCTTAATGACATTATTGTCTGGAGGTGAATTGATTAAAAAAATGTTTCGTAAATCGTAAAAAATAAATCAATCAATATCATAAACCCTATTTGATCCAGTATTGATTAGAATTATCTTGGGGATAAGAAGAAACATATGGGGTAATTGTTTCAATGCCGAAAGACCTTATAAAGAAATTAGACATAAATTATCCACGGTAAATGTCGTAATATTCAACGGGGATTTAATAATACCGACAAAAACTACGAGAAAAAAAAAGCCATAGGAAGTGTACATGTTGATGTAGATCGACGTTTCTCAACTTTTTTACCCTTGTGTAACCCTTAAAATAAATTATCTGTCTCAAGGAACCCTTGTGCAAAAACAAAATTCATCTTTCTCACTTTATTTTCATCGTAGTTCACGTGGTAAATATCATAGTATATATATTTTTGAATAACTTGTTTAAGGAAAAATTAATACTTCTTTGTCAAATTTTTCGGTAATGCTAAATAAAATTCATACTGTTCGTTTATTATACTTCATCAGAAAGTTTTCATTCACACACACAAAAAACACCTAAACTCAAAAGTAAAAAAATCAACATAACCAATATGATACACCTAAAGCGAGTTCCAATAACATGGACCAATTTTAAATGTGAATTAAACTTAAGCATCTAATGCTTTTTTACTTTTTCTTTCAGATTTGGCGGACATTTGGGCAGTATTATTTTTCACACATAATTGCCATGACTTAAATAACATGATCCAATAGAGAAATAAATATTTTTTCACCAATAACACTCATTTATTTACTGCTGACTTTGATCCGTTTTGATGAAACACCCTTATATATAATCCCTCTTAATGGAACGCCTTTTATAATATAAATGTAAATAGAACGAAAACATAATTTCTGCATCATTTTTTTATTTTTTTTCCTTTATTATAAATAGTATATTAATATTAATATATTTTTAATAACATAATAGGTTAGATAGGATGATGCCTATATTACAATAAGCAAGAATATATATTGTGTGTGTTTAGTAATATTACGTATAGGAAATTAAATAAAAATGTCCAATGAAAACTGTCATGATGCCATTTCTGACATTAGGTCTCTGGTTGGGACCCGGAAGGAAATGAGTACGCAACAGAAATGAAAGGAAATAATAATAATAATAATAATAATAATAATAAGAAGAAGAAGAAGAAGAAGAAGAAACCTGTTTGAATGAAGTGGTTATATAGTGCAAGATAAAATGGTAAGCGAAGGTTTTATTTTTGCTGCACAGGACAAATGCTTGCCAGGCAGAAATTACTAAGCACACATTGCCCTGACATCGTCATCAAACTACAAAAATAAAAAAAAAATTCTTTTTTATTGACATGACAGTCTTTGTAAGTAAATTTAATGAATTCGACTGGAATTCGAACTCGGTTTGCCAATTAGGAAATTAAATAACAAGTCAAAAATGAATTAGTTTATCTGACCTGTTCTCGAGGAACCTTAGGGTTTTGAGGAACGCTGGTTGAGAAACGCTGATGTAGACTGTGGAATTGTAGCAACACAGAAACGATTGGAAATAGAAACATTGTGACCTGGATATTCGTGTTCAGACGTCCAAAAGTGGCCATAATGTATATACGTATGTTTTAGTGGGAGATAGGTAAATTCTCGCCATTTTATATTTTGAATTTCGTACATCCGCAAACGTAAAAAATTAAACCTAAGTAACCAATATCATACTCCTATAATATAAATGTAAACAGAATGTAAACAGTAATATTACGTATATGAAATTAAATAAAAAGTCAAAAGTGCATTACCTTATCTCACCTGTTCTCGCTGAACCCTTGGGGATCTTTTGCAGAACCTTAGGGTTTCGAGGAACCCAAATTGAGAAACGCTGGTGTAGACTGGAATTGTAGCAACAAAGAAACGATTGTAAATAGAAACATAGTGACCTGGATATTCGCGTTCAGTCGTCCAAAAATGGCCATAATGTATATACATATGTTTCAGTGGGCGATGGGTAAATTGTCGCCATTTTATATTTTGAATTTCGTACATCAACGTTGTTTGTTTTTTATTGTGTTGACTGCACAGTATAATGGGGTTCAGTTGGGCACTGTCTGTGAGAAAAATACCACCATGACGCAATTCACGCCGTTAGAAATTTGGAAACGGCATGGTGTACAGTTTAGAGCAAAGGTCGGCATTTTGACCGGCCCGCGAGCCTGATTACCAGTGACTCTATTTTTAGACTATCTGCCAGTTATCTTTCATGAGACTTATTTTACCAAGTTGCGTTGCCGACGTTTAATGTCAAATAATGGATACATACTTGTTATGACCCTTGGCTACATTAAAAGATAACAGAAGGGAAAGGAACGATGAAGTGAAAGAGGCCAGGGAGGGACTGACATGCGAGGTAGCAGAAATTTAAAGACAGTTAAACATACGCGCATTATACATACATGCCTCGTGAATGTGGGATGATACCTCATGTGTACGTACGTAAGTGTATATGTTTGCAACTATTTGTACTCGTATGTATGGGTATATGGTCTTCGTTTTTGTTTGATGTATGTGTGGTTTCGTTTGTGGAACAATTTTTTAATAACAGTTTCAAACCTACACGTCATAATTTCATCCATTTCACTTCGGTTGATTTTTTTTTTTCACTTTGAAGTATTTTTGACGTTCCTTGAGGAAAAGTAATTTTTTTAGGTATTTTTTTAATTTTAGATTTTCTTTTTTTTTTTTGATTTCTCAATGTTTATTTTCATTATGGTTTTAAATATTTAGGTTGACAGGGGTCTGCATATGTCATTTTCCTTAATTTTTCATTAATGGCCTACGTCCGGCCCGCGACCCGTCATTATAACACGATTCGCCGACCCCTGGTTTAGAGTGTTTGGGTGTCAAACTGAGGACAGTACAAAGGATTCGGAAAGAGTCAACATCATGGTGTTTGGAGTAATGGCAGTGTCATGCCTCCAGTTATCTTCCCACAGGGCCTCAGAGACAACACAGAGGATTAAATGAAATACCTTAGGCGGTAGTGCTGCTCTGGGTCAAGAGGATGGCTACGACAAGACGCTATGTCTGTCAAAAGGACTCTTCACCATGCCACACAAGCGGGAGAACAAAGTCAGGCAATTGTCACAAATGTCAGACATTTTCTGCGACCACATCACCACTTACATTTGGCCACTTAACTCCTTAGACTACAACTAGTTTGATTATGTGTAACGCGCAGTTGAGCGAGAGACCAACAAAACTCCTTCTAACACCAAAGATGAACTGAAGGCAAGGATTATGGTAGCATTAAATAAGGAGATCGTCTAGAAGAGTTGCAGGTGATTCCGAAGTCGTCTGGAGGCTGTGGTTGAAACCAATGGCGATTTTATTGAATAAATCTACTCTGTAGTATTTCAAGATATTTTTTGTGTAATTTTGTAAATATATCTGTTAACATGAGATATCAGTATTATTTTCATGTTTGCGTAATTTAGACGACAATTTATTCATCGCTCCCTATATATATATATATATATATATAAAAACTCTAGACAAAAAAAAATTTTCGTAGATGGCCTCAAGAACTTGAGACTTCTGTTCACATGAACCGTGCCTATGTTAAAAGTTTTATTTTAAACACGTTGGCATTTTTTGATTGATATTTTAATACAGCTCATTGCACGGTGAAATGTTGATATTTGATCACCACCAGCAGGGTCACCTGAGTGAACGATTTTAATACTGGATAAACCCGAAACTCCGAAGGATCCAGGGCAACATCACCGATGATTTGGCCAAGATCATCTTATAAGATATATATCGAAACTAGTAAATTCTTTGTTAGGCTGGCCTGAATTTATTCCAGAGCCTGAGAGTAAAAATGAGAGGCAAATTTTGCGGGTAATCTTTTTTTCTAAAAAAAGGATGTTTTCTAAGCTTGATTTATTTGTGTAGGATATTAGAATTAAAACATTAAAAAAGACTTTCTGAACTCAAGGAAAGCAGACGCGTTTTGTCGAAGCCCAAAAAATTTATACATTTTAAGTTTAAGAGAAAAATATAAATATTTCATTTATATTATATATATATATATATATATATATATATATATATATATATATATATATATATATATATATATAGGCAGCATTTTTCATTCATACACGTTTCATTAAATGATATAAACAAAAATGTTGTCTATTTATTTTATGTAATTTTTTTCGTAGTCTATCTGATAATTTTAATAACATTATCGTTGAACGAAGAAAGAAATTCACAATATTGATCCATATTTTTAATACAATCTAAGCTTTGACAGACTTATCATCACTAAGCCATTATCAAAATATGTTGTCAATTGACAACATATTAAGCATATACGGACAAGACAGTGAAAAAATATGGATCTGTCATTGTTTACCGTTCAACGATATGATTTCTTAAGACAACGATAAAAACGTGCATATAAGAAACGACAGAAGTCTAAAATTTAATGAACCGCATCTCATGACGTCACATATAATGAATTGGAGAAGTATGGATATATATATATATATTTATTTCTCCGTTCAACAATAATGTTATTAAACTTATCAGACGTTACGAAAAAATTAATTGTTCTCGTGAATTTTCTAATATG